TTATATAATACGACATACAATCATGTGAAAGCTTAAAAGATAATGTAAGAATTTATGTCGTGCTAAACAAATAACCTCAAAGTCGTAAGATTTTATGTTGTTTAACTCTATAAAAAGTTTAGTTAAGGATCATTCTTCACTTCATTATTTTTGTCTTCATCATCACTCGAAAGTTAACTACTACTTGATCGTGTCGTTGCCTCATTCTTGTGAAAAGAGAAGAGAAGAGAGAAACCATGCTTCGAGCGGCCAATTCTAAGTTCTTGTTTCATTGTTTTATTGTCGTGATTTTAAAATGTACATTTTAGATGATGATTATTATTGTTATTGTCATTATCATTTAATCAATAGATTGTGTTATGAGGCCTTAAGAATTGTTACTATTTTGTTAATTTGTTATGTTGGTCGTGTGTTATAGGACTTTAAACTAAGCATATGTCCTATATTCTCTATCCTAGGGTCTCTTTTCAAATGCTAAGAGTTTGACAAGTAAGAAGAATAACAATATCGTGCATTTAACAAAGCCAATGTAACCAAGTGTAACAAAAGAGAAAGTAGCAGTGTGTACCTACCGCCTATGATGATATCTCAAAAAAATCACAATTATATGTTTCATATGTATATACATAAAAATTAAACAAACATTGAATAATTTAAAATTTTAATATAAAATATATTAAGACATAAGATTGCATATCTGTGTAAAACTAGGTGGTAGATATATGAAAGATCCGAACTGGATATAAGTATTCTGAGTTAGGAATAGGCTCAGCCTCAGGCATTTGTCCATAATAATCTCTCTCCAAAAGGTTTTCCCTCTTTTATTTTTAATAATCAATCCAAAGCATAAGTGTGCACAAGACCAATTCTGGATGAAAGCTACCAACAAGTCAATCAAAGGAGAGCAACTCCTAGCCCTAATCAAAATGACTGACCAGTAGACGTACAAAAGGTAACACCTAAAATTCTTGATTTATCATGCATATATGTAAATTAATATTTTATTAGGGCCATCAAAAGCCTAAAATTAACACCATAAAAGAATTTATTTTATTATTATATATGGTACATATTTTTTTATAATGCAAATTGTCCACAGGTCAGTTTGACTGTTGGGCTAGAGCTACTGACGACCGAAGAAAGCAAGGACAACTTCACACCAGATATTGACGAATAGGAGCACCAGCCCTAAACCCTCACAAGGTCATCAGGTTAGAAGACATAATACAACTCTAGTAGCACGAACTTAGTGATTGATGCTCTTACATCATCACTAATATCACTAACACTTCCAACTTATAAATCAACTCGATGATTCATATAAAATTGCCACAATTTGAATATCATGATGTTAAAAGCTCAAATCCTTAAGAATTGGATATTACTTTGGGTTAAGGTATATCGGGTCCATTTTATGGAATTCGATATTTCAGTTAACTAAGAATTATTATTCTTTTATTTTTTTTCTTAGAATCATTGTTTTATTACTTTCTTCAAAATTTGCAAGAAGTTCAAATGACCTACAAAATGCTTTGAACCTTGTTGGGACATTCAGAATGTGGTTCTAAACAGTCCCATAAAATTTCAAGTCATTTCAAGTCCATTTAAATTTTCTGTGAATTTTTTGAATTTGCCGGCTGATTTTAAAATAATAGATAAATAATTCAAGAACAACACTTTCTTAATCCTTGTTTTCTTATGTTTTAATTAACCTATGGGTGAAGACCCTTATCCTCTATGGAGAAAGTTATTCAAGTGTTAGTAAGAAGGGCATAATTGTGAATATGCGCTTTTGCACCTAGATCAACTATATTCAACCCATTGCTACTCTCTAAGGGTCCCTATCTGGTTGATTAGCAATTGACTTCAGCAAATTAACCCCCATGATTCATATTTCCACCCTTAAATAAGTGGAAGACCACCTAAGGTATTTTTGTAATCTAAGGAATGTTTGTAAATGTGCCCCTGAATAAGATTAAACCTTAGAAATTTTTAGAGTATTTAGCTATTCATACCTTATTCAAGGTCTTTTACTTTGAACCTTAATAATTTGAAATGTGTATAGTTCATTATAAGACCTTTTGAGATCCTATGGGTAAGTTTGCAATTTACGAGTTGTCGTTGATTTTCCCTTTTATATATATAAATATCTCTCCAACCCATGGTCGGGAGTGTAAATCAACAACTTAAAAAGATCCTATGGGTAAGTTTGCAATTTACGAGTTGTCATTGATTTTCACTTTTATATATATAAATATCTCTCCAACCCATGGTGGGGAGTGTAAATCAACAACTTAAGCATTTCCAACCTATATCTCCCACCACTTAGTCATTCAACTATTTTCTTCTTCTAATCCTTAAATATTCATGAATTTACATCTTTACTCTTTACATATTTTTAATGATTTGATGGCTACTCCAATCAACCCTTTGTGTTTCAAGCAATTCAGTAAGCATTTGATCATGACTTTCACCCATTTACCCTTTGATGTGGTTCATTATTAATTAATTAAGGGTTAAAAGTGAAATTATGATATTTACAAGTACACCCCTATGACAAACAACTTGCTAACTATGACACCAAGATTCCATTTGTTATTAATCTTTGTTAATCATTCACCCATAGGATAATCAATGTTTTAGGGACGAGTTTGTGTTTTTTGAGATGAATTTTATCTTTTGTACTTATTTAAGAAAAAAATTATGAAATTAGAATGAAAATTCATTTAACTATTTAAAATATGTTATCTATTATTCAAAATTTTACGACAGGTTGTTGAGGCTATGAAAGTTAATCAAAAGAAATTTCATGTCATTTTGATTTGCATTTAAAATTTTATAATTTTGTATCATTTTTAATATAAAGAAATATTTATAAAATACATTTTATAATTTTATAATTCATATTTATTTTTTCTAAGTGACTTTGGTCCCCTTAAACTTACTAAAATTTATTTTTTATTTTTTATAATTATTTTACTAAAATAATATCAAATGTCAAAAAAAAATAGGGCTTTTGATGTTAAAGAGGCCCTCTAAGCTTGAAAAAATCAGAGGATATCTTTAATCATATTTAATTTTATTTAAGTTTTTAGTAGGTGGGTTTGGGTTTTGATTTGGTGGATTTGGGCTTTTTAGAATTCATGGAGCTTCAAATTTGTCATGATGGACTTTTGAAATTTATCATGATGTGTTTATTTTGAAATTGATTTTGGGCTTTCAATCATGGCTTATGTGATTCTCATAAAATTTTATTTCAATTTTGGCGGGGGATTGTGTATGAGTGTGATGTGATTGTGGGTAAATTATGGTGGTGATGTATGTGTTGTGTGGATTGTGTGTGAATTGGGGTGGAGGTGATAGGTATGCACATGGGTGTACGTGGGTGTCGGTGTGGGTGTGCGTGTGAATTATGGTAGTGGTGATGGTCATATTTATGTGCGTGTGAACATTCTTAAAATTTAATGGCTTTCCTTAAGGCATGTTGAATTTCTATAGAAACTCTACTTGAGCTTCAATGTGCTGGTCTCAATCAACTCAAATAACTGTTGAGGATGTGGAACCACACACATGAGGCTACAAGGTGCTAAGAGGTGGTTTGAATTTCCTAAGTGGTGTAGGTCCTAATACTACTCTTCTAGGAAGGTCATAGGGGAAGTCCTATGACTAGATCATATGCTCTGCGAGGGAGACATACCTCACCAAAAATGAGGTTAGCAACATAGTATACTACTACCAATATATAAATATTTCTTCAGAAAAGTGGAAAAGGTCCCATAAAGTCTACTCCCCAAAGATCAAATATTTCAACTTCCAAGGTCGCATTAAGGGGCATCTCATATTTTATAGAAATATTCCCCATCCTCTAACATCTATCAACAGTTTTAACATATTGATTCACATCCTTAAAGAGGGTTGGCCAATAAAATTCATATTGTAAAATTTTGGTTGCAGTTTTGAATCTACCAAAATGCCCCCAAATATCGAATCATGACAGGCCTTAATGATATCATTGATCTCTTCCAAAAGCAAACATCTCTTAAGATTTTGGTCCTTACACCTCCTAAACAAATAGGGTTCATCCCAATAGTAGAATTTAGCATAAGAGAAGAATTTCTTCTTCTGGTGGTATGTTAAACCATAAGGAGCAATCCCACTAATAATGTAATTCACATGTCAACGTTCCTCAAAGTAATCTCCTTCTAAATGGTGAGGAGTTGCTCGTCATGAAAACTCTCATTTATGTTAAAAAGACACCCATCGGATTTTTTTTCTTTTCGAGTCAAGATAAATGGTATGCTACATGATTCTCTATACCTTTTCTATTGATAACATGCAAATCAAACTCTTGCATCAAAATGACCCATCAGATCAAGCTGGGTTGGGAATCATTTTTGGTTACAAGATAACTGATAGTGGCATGACCGGTGTGAACAACGCCATGGGTTCACATCCGGTAGAATTCAATCTTATCAATAGCAAATACTATGGTGATGAGTTCATTCTTAGTGATGGTGTCATTTATTTGAGCTTTGTTGAGGGTCCTACAAACATAGTAAATTGCATGAAAAATCCTGTACAGACTTTGTTTTGCATACTACTTGACCGACACATATATTACTTGAACAACACATATATCATTTTTCGTAGCATCGATATACGAACTTTGTTCCGTATACTATTTGAACGACACATATACTTGTATGATTTATCAGTGCTTCTCAACCTTTAGTTTCTATCCAAAGAAATTTATACCATACCACAGAATTTCTATATATTTATAAATCTAACACCCAAAATTTAACATTTATATTAGAATATTTTGATGGTAAAATTTATACATGAAAATTCATTTTTCAATAAATAATGATGATAAAACTTGACCTAATATTAAAGGTTTCACAGTTAGGGATGCTTAGGTGGCACTTACGTAAATACATAAAAATTGGGTGGTATGGAAGCAAATGCCTTAAACCCCACCACAGCTACAAAACTTAGAAGGTTCTGCACATGATGAACCGACCATTTTACTCCCGACGCATTCTTTCCCTTTGTGATTTGATTTCCCTCCCCTTTAATTTCCCAACTGGAGGGGATCCGGCCGCGAGCGTAATCTCTGGTCCATTGTCGCGAGCTTAAGGTCCTGAAACCCTAGATTGATCGCTGCGATGGCTTCTGCCGCCGCGCGAAACCTTGATCGATCCATCTCCGACTCTTCCCAGTCTCCTCCTTCCGGCCGGAGCCGTCGATCCGTCCACCGTGCTCTGGGCAGCGGCGCAGGTCTCTCAACCTGATTTTCCTTTTTCTTCTAGCTAGTTCCCTCCGTTCTCTACGCGGCAACTTTGATTTGTTTCTTTTTTGTGGGGTTTTATCTTGACGCAGTTGCCGATGTCTTACTGTGGAGGAACCCAACTGCGACGGCATCTGTGGCAGGGGCTGCAACTGTCTTCTGGATTCTCTTTGAACTGGCCGGCTACAGTTTGCTATCTCTCGTCGCGAACTCGCTACTTCTCTTGGTCACCATCCTCTTCTTTTGGGGAAAATCTGCGTCCCTCCTTAATAGGTTCCCCGCCACATTCTGTTTCTAATTTGATTCGTTATTTATAAGTGATATGACCTTGCATCGGGTGTCATATTTGATTCAGACCTCTTCCCCCTCTTCCCAAACTCGAGGTTTCAGAGGAGCTCGTTGGAAAGGTTTCTGATGAGGCGCGGAAATGGATCAATCATGCATTGTCCATTGCACGTGATATTGCTATTGGAAGGGACAGGACTGTTTTCTTTAAGGTATTTATGCATGTGTTTTCGTTTTCTCTCTTGTTAAAGATAAACTCTGACCACAATTTGATTAATTTCTCAGGTCATATTGGTGTTATGGACTGCGTCTTATATCGGTGGTTTATTTAGCTTCTTCACCTTTGTCTATATCGGTGAGTTTCTTATCATTTTTTGCGAACAGCTTCATTTAGGATGAATTGTATTGTAATTAGTAGACAAAGAAAAGTGATTTTGGAATGCCACCATATTTATTGTCTAAATGGTTCTCCTGTTGATTTTATTTCAGGAGTGGTTCTATCTCTCACGATTCCTGCAGTGTATGAGAAGTTTCAGGATCCTATTGATGAAAAATTTTGTTTAGCACACAGTTTACTTCTGAAGCACTTTGATAATGCCCTTAGCAGAACATTAAGACAATCAAACAAGGAAAAGAAGATATTATAGAAAGGCGTCACATTCTCTGTCCCAAATATACAAACCATTTGTACCACTTCATGATATTGTTTTGGTGGAGTTTGTCAGGTTTTGCAATAATTTTGGTTTATTGTAGTACTATAAATTGAATGAAGTTATTGATTTCAGCTAAAATCTCTTGGAGTGGTATTTCTAATTTTAATTAATTATTTTAGATCATTTGGTATGGTAGCTGGAACATTACTCATTTCTTTTTGTTCTCTTTTTTTTCGGTCTTTCATAAGCTTATTTTTTGAAATAAATACTTTATCTAGCTTGAATAAATGATATTCTATGTTAGTTATTTCAATACAGTCAATTATCAATCAAATGGAGTATAAATTTAATGCTGTATTTATTTTGTTTTATGGGCTGGACGTTGTTTTCTTTTATCTTGTTTTAATTTATGGCATTTTCTGCTGTCTATGCCAACGCAGTAATGATGTTGTTAGTTTGTTTTATGGGCTGGAAGTTGTTTTTTTTTTCTTGGATATATGACATTCTCTACTAGCTATGTCAGTCAAAGTTTGATTCAGTATAGTATAATTTTAAAGATGTATTCATTCGGTTGTTTTCTTCATAGAAGACAACTCTAGGTTTCTTTGTACTATAATCAAAATTCAAAGATTCTTTCTTTGCTTTTGAAAGGGGTTCTTTAAATGGAATTCATATAATGCATTCTGCCTTTAGTTCAAGATGGAGATTTAAAATTAATATATAATATTAAAGTACTTGAAAAAAAAAAGAGCTAATGCATTCATATAATGCATTCTGCCCACTTAGGAATGTTTGATTCTTCTGAGTCTTGTTTTTCTCTTTTATAAATCATCTCCATAAAATTCATTTGGGAGGGACATATAGTAGGTCAATTGTCATTACCGTTGTATGAGGTTTAACATTCTACTTTTGAAATTGTGACCATAGAGCCTTATTTGGGAGCTTCATCTTCATTATAATGCTTGTTTTTGAGGCTTATCTTCTTTGGGTTATGCATTATGAAAGGAACTGTTCCTTGGTTATCGTTCTACAAGTCGAGGTTTTGGATAGCCGTCCTCAATTTGTGTTCATTGTGCTCTCATAAATATCAACATTATAATGTCTTGGACCATGAATCTAAGATAATTCATTATGATATTTTCATTATTTTTTCTGGCAACAAGAGTGAAAGATAAGTCTCAAGATTGTCTCCTTCTGTTGAAAGCTTTGGATGAGGTTTCCTATTGTCATAAACTTGGGGTCAACACTGGTTGACTACACAATAAACATTGAAACACATTCTTTGATTTGACAGGTTTTGGAGAGTGAAAGTAAAAACTGTGGATACGTTATGATTTCACTATTTCATTTTCATAATTTATGACACTTATTATAGCTAAGGGCTATGTAGCACGAGTAAGCCTCTCCCACATAGGTGGTCCTAATTTGCTAAACCACGTCCTAAGAATGGGTTGAAGTCCGGCTTTGATATTGGACTATTGGATCACCCTTTTTATTTTAAATCATTTAGATTGAAATCGATATAAATAACCTAAAAATAAATAGGAACTTTAAAGATCAATTTTTTTACTCAACAGGTCAAATAATTTAAGTGATTAACCACTTTTTTTTATTAATTTATTAGTATTTATTGTTCTCAATAAATTATCCCCCCTGTTTGTTTAGGTTTGAATTTTAAGGAGTCGAGAAAGAGTTAAACTTGATTTTCCTCCGCGTTCGGTGAGTGTATGCTGAAGGGACTAAATCGGTTAATTAGGAGTGATAATTTTAAAAAGTTTCCTGTATTGTTAGAAGGTTTATGTTAGTTATGCATGCAGGAGCTTGTGATTAAGAATTTAAGGCGCCATGATGATCAAGAGTTTATAATTTTCTAATAAGAAAATTTTATTTCATGTAGAATTTAATATACCAAATATTATGAAGAGGCTTTCTAATCACATAAATGATGTGATTTGCCGCGCTGCAACTAATAATGTTCAAGTTCTCCGATGTTATAATATGGAATGATTATTAACAATGGTTTGTAAATCCTCTAATTGGATTTATCTTTTCATTTGCATTGATATATAGATTCAAAAGGCCAAGTCTATAAATTCATTTTGAAGATGCTTTCTAATCCCACGAGCGATAAGTATAATTCATAGAAAAAGAGAAAGGCCACATGTTCTCTAATATGTTTATCCTCGTACTTGGAACCATCACCCTTCTTAGGCAATGATAGATGTAACTACTGAATTGTAATTGCTACAATATTTTTGCTAGTTATGTGGCAGATGAAGCCAACTCCCCGGTGAAGAGTTCCAATAAGGAAAAGATCAAAATGGACTCAATTACTTTGGTAAGTACGCCGACGGGTTATCCTAATCAATTGTCTTCCAAGTACCTATATAGGCTACTTTTCAAATTCTATGGAAAGTATTGTGTACTGACTTAAAAATGACACTTGGGTGATTGGTTGGTAACAAGGCTCTAAGCCACTCTTAAAATGAGCTAAGTTGGGGGTGCCGCCAATTAATGTTCTGTTATGCCGGGGCCTAGCCTAAGGGCAATTTGTTCTTTTGTACTTCTAAGGGCTTAGTATTTTATTATTATTATTGTTGGGTATAACTAGGCTTATTATGATTAAGGATAGGGGGATGCACGAGTTTATTTTAGTGAGTCTTAGGTTTAGGATTTGGGAGAGATTTCTTACCTCTCGAATTGTAAGAATTGGAAGAGATCGCCTAACTGTTGATTTGGAGGTGTTTATCTTTGTATTAATATTTTGTTCTTTGGATTATTAAAGAAAAATATTTGTTTTGCCCTAATTTCTTTGGAAAAGTGTGCGAAATTTGTTTCCATATCGTATCAAATTAGTATTAGACCACAAGATCCTGGGAATCAGATCGATAGAATATAGGATCGATTAACTCGACAGAAGCTGAAGCAAATCATGGCTTAGTGGGCAATGATTTTATCCTATAGAGCAATATGCTTGATATGGCTTTCCCTAGTGCACGAATGATGTGATCTGGGACGCTATGGTTGGGATCGACGTATAGGGACTCGAAACACAAATTTTTCTCTTCCACCAACATCATCTTTTACATGCAGTTGCGATCAAAGCTAGCAGGGAAGGCTTCGATGCGAAGGATCATGGCTTACCGAGACTTGAAACTCCATCTTTCGCCTTCTCCCGCTTTGTGGATGCAATACAATTGCAATTATAGCTAGCTAAGAAGGTGACTACAAAGATCTGAAACTCCATCTTCCTCCTTAGTCATACGATGCATACACGATTAAAGCATGCTAGGAAAGTGATGTCGAGATCATATAGGGCGGTGATTGAAGCCTTGCAATACGATCGCAATACGAGTTATCTGAGAAACAGAAGGGATCGAGGCATAATGGGCAAGGCTGTGTGACGGAATCGGGTGTGCCCTAATTGTGATCCTAAAAGTCAGTGACCAGATGTGGGATCAAGTGTGCTCTAGTGACAGAAATTAACGATGAAAAAAAAAAGAAAAGTGCCCTAATTGTGATCCTAAAAGTCAGTGACCAGATTTGGGATCAAGTGTGCTCTAGTGACAGGAATTAACGATGACAAAAAAAAAACAATTTGGAGAAGAAATTGGAGGAAGAAGTGGGCCAACATAAATTCAAGATAGAGGAAAGGTTTTTAGCCATTGACGATCAATTTGAGAGCTTAGGGGAGGCTTATTGAGATGCAACCCAAGACCTCGCCGATAGTTCAGTTTGCAAATTCTAACCAAGGGTTGACTGGAGATTCATCAGCTAAATTGAAAGAGAAATAGATTGGATGAGAGAAAGAGAAATATATTGGATGAGAGGGATATGATGAGGAAAGCATCCACCATCAATAACCACCTCCCAGGGCTCTGATGGGGGTTGATTAGATATTTTTGAATGAGGCGGGTGGGTTAAAACATGGGGATGGGGTTATGCAAGGGGTATGGAGGAGTACAAAGAAGAAAAAAGAGAATTTGGGAGGGGGTATTATTTGATCAAAAGAGGGAGATTTATCCTCGATACTTGGGGAGAATAGCGGAGGAATAGGAAGTTGGGGTGATGATGCTAGTGTTAGGAAGTTGAAGCTGTCGATCTTTGAAGGGGAAGACATGCAAGGGTGGGTGTATCGGGTATAACGTTACTTCGCGGTGAATGGGCTAGATGTGGAGGAGAAACTAATGGTGGTAGGGTTATGTTTAAAGGGGAACACCCTAGCCTGATTTCAATGGAGGGAGACTAGATTTCTGATTCGTTCATGGGAGGAAGTGAAAGTTTATTTGTTGGAATCTTTTTGAGCCATATGGGAAAGAGACCTAAACGGACAATTTTGTACCTTTACTCAGGAGGGAATTGTCTTGGAATATAGGAAGAGATTCAAGCTTTTGTCGCGATGACTTGGGGGTAATTTTTGAAGCAGGATTGGAGGGGAACTTTGTGAATGGCCTAAAGCTCGACATACAGACAACACTTTAACTATTGAGATCGAGAGGATTGAGGGAGATGTGGAGCTAGCCATATGGTGAAGGACAAGAACCATATGGAGAAGGCTAGAAGGAGCAACATAGATGGAGCGTCGTAACAATACCAAAAGCTCAAACAGTGGAACTGTAGAGAGAGGTTGCACAAGACAGGAATGATGGACAACTTTCGGGAGAGAGACTCAAGCGCCTTACAGAAACAATGATTCAAGAGAAGTGAACCAAGCGATTATTTGTTTGGTGTGATGAGAAGTTTATCCCAGGTCACCGTTGCAAGTATCGAAAATTAAAAGTTCTCATGGTTCATGATGAGGAGGCCGAAGATGAAAAAGTAGAGATAGTGGTGGGGGAGGAGGAACACTCACATTTTCTCACCTTGAGGTCAATGTGTCTTTTTGGGGTGGAGTATTGTTAATCCGGTGCTTAGCGTAAGGGCAATTTGGTCTTTTGTATGTTTAAGGGCAAGTTAGTGTTTTATTATTATTATTCTTGGAAATAAATAAGCTTATGCATGAGATTCTTGTGGCGAGTCTTCGGTTTAGGGTTTGGGAGAGATTTCCTACCTCTCAAATTGTAGGATTTGGGAAAGATCGCCCACCTTTAGAATTGTAGGTGTCTAACTTTATATTCATATTGAGTTGTTTGGAATGTTAATGAAAAATATTTGCT